AAGGTAAGCCCAGTTCCTGGGCACACTGGCCCAAACATAGCAAGCCAAAGGTAGAGACACTCACTATCTCAGAAAGAAGGAAGAACTCTTTCACACAGAACCTACAATATGCTCAGCAGCTCTGCAGGCAGCATGGTAACATGTGTTACTGGGGAAGGAGGTTAGAACGTCTCCTCAAAATATACCCTACTCTGGGAATCCATCAGTCCCACAAAATGTACCCATGTGTGCTCTGTCAGCAGGTCACTACTCTTGAGAAGATGCTTGCTATTCTATACTGTGTCTCCACTCACTGCTTCCTCATAACAGACCTGGGTTCAGGAAGGCTGGATTCCAGGGGAAACTGAACAAGCACTTAGTGGGTGCTCAGCCAGATTGCACCTGCTGGTCATTGTATGACTGCTGACCTTAACACATACAAGGTCGAAACTTTTCACAAAGTGACTGACTGACTATCTGGGGCTAAGTACCTCCAAGTTTGATTAAGACTTTAAGTCCAGAGTTCAATTCCCAGCAACCACCTCGTGGCTCACAACCATCTATAATGAGATCTTCTGCCCTCTTCTGGCCTGCAGGCATACATGCAGGCAGAACACTACATGATTTTTTTTTTTTTTTGAGAGACTTCAGTATCACAATAACACAGGTCCACAGTACCACAGACCTAGTCTATGGGGGCATTTGTGACATCTCTCTCCCTTCCTTTCCTCCTCTCACCATACCTAAAAATCAAACTGTGTGTTTGTTTTGGTACTGGGAAGGTGGCCTAGGATATTGGTTATGTTAAGGACATTCTCTACTAGGCATCCCAGTCAAAACCTTTACAATTAGTTAATAGTTTATTTATTTATTGTGTGTGTGTGTGTGTGTGTGTGTGTGTGTGTGTGTGTGCAGCCTGACATGCTTGTAGAAAACTGTGAGAGTTGGCTCTCTCCTTTCACTATGTGGGTACTAGAGATAAACCCAGGTTGTTAGGTAAGTGCCTTTACTCACTGAGCCATCTCTTCTCCCAGCCCCCGATAAATACTTTTAAAGAGAGAACAGAAACTCATGCCAGGTGCTATGCAAGATCTTAGAACAAGAATGATTTAGGTTTGATCTGAGGAAGAACTTCTGATTGGGAGAGTGACTCCACCCCCAAAAAGGCTGGTGAGAAATCAGAGGACACACTGGACTCCCTCTGGGCTTGGCACTCCTTAGCCCAGGCCTGAAGCAGTCAGCCCAGGCGTGGAAATTGCAGGTGACTCAGGGAATCTTAAGTGGTGGTTGCTAGGTTACAAGCTTCTTTAATGTGCCTCGATGTAAAGACTAAGGGATGCTACCTGGCTGGGAGGAAGAGCAATGGGGGAAGGAGATAGGGAAAAGAAATATGTCAGACTTCCAGAATTAGCAATTGGGCATAGCCTGGAGGCAAACTGATTGGTTCCCTCCCACCCCCTATTTTTCCATGGCCAAGTCTCTTGACCCGTACGGTTTGCACAGAGTAAAGCCTATGGATGTGAACAGAGCTGGAATAGAGCTGTCCAGGACTGGACTCTGGTGTCTCCCCAGGTGAGACCCTCAACAATCACTGGGGTCCCTTTGGGCTCTAGGCACCTTCCCTGGATGCAATTGGACAAATGACCAGAAGAAGCCAGGTGAGAACAGGAACACCCACCCTCCTGGCTAATGCAGGGTTTGTTCATTTGTGATTTGGACTCTTCAACCCAGTCTTTTGAATGAGTTGCCAGCTCTAAGTGAAGCACTCCCTGAGTGTCAGACCCTCCTCTGCAAAACACAGATGCTCACAGATGTCTGGCAGTCTCCCTCCAGTTGAAGATTATGAGAACTTGAATGTGCAAAGGCTGAGCTCCAGGAAGTCTGCCCACCTGCGGGGAGGGTGTGAAAAGTTGCTTGGCTTTGCTGCCTCGGTGAAGGCTCTGAAGGCTCATAGGCAAGCTAGGCTGAAGACAGATCCCAAGAAGCCCATTTGAGAAGACTGTAGCTTCCATTCATCCTCACCCCAAACTACAGCTGTGAAACTGATTCAGTTCAAAGTAAGAGTCCATTCCACATTCCTTTGGGCATATGAGGACCCTAAGAATGTTATGGGGTACCCACCAGAGAAGACTACATAGGCAGGGCTTCCAGCCAATAGAAAGTCTTTATTAGCCAGCTGGCAACTACACTGGGTGTTCAGGACTTGAGTGTAGTCCCGAGCCTTTCTCAGGGTGGGCTTTTAAGCACAGAAACCACATCCCCGAGTTGACATATCTCATTTACCAAGAACAGTTAGCAAGGAGTGGAACTACAGAAGCCGAAAAGCAAGGTTAGTGCATTTAGGGACTTTCCCAGAACTATGGACTTTGATGGAATAGGTCTTTGTTCTCTTTTTTTTGGCAGGTGGTGCTGCCTACATGCTGGGTTCCAAGGCCTGAATGGTACTTCCATCCTATCATAAGTTGTTATAAGGTCTGGAGGCCTTTTACAAGAACAGGAAATGGTTGGCCTTGTCTGTGAAACTTCATTGTTTTGGACTACACTCTTTGAATTTGTGAGTTCTTACCAAATAGGGGAAAACAGAACACAGCCTCTTTCTGTGGATGATCTAGATGTTGATTTTGCAAATCCATGAATCTAAGCTTTAAAAATAGTAGAATTGTCAGGTCAAGAGCTCAAGATAGTAAAGCAGGCCTATTTTGAGTTACATCTTCTGTTTCCACAGAAGCCGCAGTAGCAGTATGAGCACTGACAGAAATGTACCCGGCCCCATGCTCCCTGTCAGACGGTATGGTGAACACTTGACAAGTTTTGCCTCTTCTAACCGTCACAAAAACCTATACCATGGAATGCTACAAAGAAGTAACAGAGAAAAACAAAGCCTGACATAGAGGCACACACCTTTCATCTCAGCACTTAGGAGGCAGAGGCCTCCTAATTTGAGGCCAGCCTGGTCTATACAGAGAGTTCCAGGACAGCCAGACTTACCTTCAGAGACCCTGTCTTGAAAAGAAAAGAACTGGGCTTGGTGGCACAGGCAGGTCTGCAATCCTGGCATTTGGAGGCTATGGCAGGAAAATCATGAGTTCCAGGCATAGTGAGACCATGTTTCCAAAAAACAGAAAAGGGGTGGGAAGAGAGAGAGAGAGAAAGAGAGAGAGAGAGAGAGAGAGAGAGAGAGAGAGAGAGAGAGAGATCTTTTCAACGACTTGGATGATGACAGTCCAGGAGTGAGTTTGGGAGTGGGGGAAGACTCTGAAAGATTACATACTGTATGATTTTATCAAATCACATTCTTTTCCTTCCAGCCTGGAACACAATATATAGCAAGGATGACCTTGAGCTTCTAATCATCCTGTCTCCACCTCTCAAGTGCTGTGATTTTGGGGCATACATTACTAGGTTTTATGTTACTGTGCCAGGCACCAGATTTCATGTAGTGCTAGGCATGGGGGGGGGGTCCATGTTTTTGTGCTTGCTAGGCAAACACTCCACCAACTGAGCCACAGTCCCAGCTCTTTGTACAACACGACTGAAGAGACAAGATTTCAGAAATGGATTGTCAGGGGCTGGGGAAGGACAAGCAAGAAGTATGGAGTTTTACCAGATATCAAAAAGTAACATGGGACACTTGTTATAATGAAAATTCGTTCTGCTTGTGAATTGTACTTTAGCTTGGTAGGATATTAGTACTGGGAGACACTGGCTAAAGAGTACTTCTCCCTTATAACCACGTGTGAATCCACAGTTTATCACAAATTAAAGTTTAGTGTCTCACATGTGCACAGCCCTGAGTTTCAGCCCCAGCATTGGGGGAAAATACACACCACACCGCGTGTGCACACACATAGTGGAAAGTCTGTCAGGCTCCCAAGCTTCCAGGTGGAAGGAAGCCAATAGGAGGACCCTGTGGGTTTGGAGAGACACACCACCAAGTGGCCCGTGTGTCACTGGCACTTGTATTACTGGGGACCACAGTTATGAAGGGTCTGTTGCTGAGTAGAGGTTTGAAGAGGTTATCTATTTATCTATTCAGTCCTGTGGCTGGTGCTAACCATGTTTGCCCATCTAGAGATGTGTGAAGGTTCTTTTTTTTGGGGGGGGGTCCTCTCAGACCATCTATTGGTGTGTTCAGTGTGGTTCCCCTGTCCGTGACTTTATCTGCGGCTTTGTGGACCTGTCCACTCAGGAGGGAAGGAAGGTTCTTTGTGAATTACATGCATACTCGTGCAGATTGTCAGATCTGTGGGTCCTTGCTGCATGTGTGTCACGGCCTCCTAACTTGAGTCTGAGGTTTGACCGCGTAAGAATATACCTCCCCCCCAAACAAAGCCAGCCTGTCACGAACTGGGTCTGTGTACTGTAGACAAACTGGGTAATTGGGCTCTCCGCCTCCTCACCCAAAACAAACACTCGCAAACGCCCGCCCCCACGCTGGCGGGATCTGCCTGTCATCTGGGCACCGGCTTCTGCTCTGGCTGCCTCCGACCCTGGAGACACGGCAGGCCCTGCCCTCGCCCGCCCCGGCTGCCGGGGCTG